ACTGCTAGTCCACACACTGGATTATAACAGACCCTTTTTGTTTTGGACAAATGCAAACCGTTTTCTAGAGTTAAAAATGGAATGCAAACCCACAACATGAAAGACTTCGTCATCCACTACTGTGTAATAAGCATCACATGTAATGTTTATTTCAGATTGTATTGTATAATGAAAACAACCCTCCTAGAAGGTAAGATTTTTCTATGGCTGGTCTCCCCCTGCAGTTAATTCTTGCTGGGAAGCAATACACTCCTGGAAATAGAAGTTTTGTAATGGAAAAAAGCTTGATGCATCCTTAACTCACGTGACACCATTATAATTAGGAGGAAATTTACTCTGAATTGAAGTGTTTGTGGCTTATATAAGCACTTTTGGGGTACAAGTGGCAAGAATTATTTGATATCTGTTGACAAGACTTTCTACAAAAAAATGTTAACCATAAGTCCCATCTTTATGTAATCATTGCCAGCTGAGTACTTGACATAGTACAATTTCCTGTCAGTACAAAGTTTCCCGAGGGAGAAGAACAGTGCGTATATCTTTGCCGGTGGATCCAAATTGATGTTCTCCAGTGCATCTGCTTCAGCCCAAACTGCATTACACAGCATGCCACTGCCAGGACCCAATTGTGAGTCACAGTCAGGGCTTTAAAAAGGGTGAGACACCCAAAATGAGGAACCTAACCCTTCTCTCCTCCCCCACAAAGCAGTTAAAATGGAAACTCTAAATGTTATGGGAAGCAACTCTTGAATATAAATAAAATGTTCAATAACCTCAGTTTCATGAGTCTGTATATCTGATGTCAACAATCTAAAGTGATAAAGACAGAGCGAGCAGCAAGGAATGTGTGGAATGGCGCCTCAGCTGGGTGTAAAACCAGGGACACTAATTATATCCTTCCATAAATGCTTTCTTTCCCAAAGGATTTCAGCAACCTAACCAACTATGCATAACAATCACTTTAGCCATATCCCAAATGCAACTAATTCAGCAGTGGAATGTGGCAGCTGTTTAACAAGGCACTGCCAACACCACACAACAGCTGAAGATGGGAAATGACGAATCCCTTATCCAATTGAAACTGCAGGGGGAGTTTTATGTAGGAGAAATCTAATTGCCCAGGATGAAATTTAGCCATGATATCAGGACTAATATCCCTACTCTTTCAAGAACTACTAGGTGATCTTTAGTGATAAGAAGTGTTGTCTTTTCCTATACAAACAGATTCAGGGTGAACTCTTGATTGCATTGTAGTTAATGGGAATTTTGCCATTGACTTCAATGGGGCCAAGATTTCATCGAGCATTTCTAGGAGCTCAGTGCCCCTTTAACATCATAGGGAACACCAGTTCAGTACTAACTCAGAAGAAAAAGTGCCAACTCCTGAATTGTCGTCATCATCATCACCAATTCCTTTAGCACACTGGGTTTTCCTCAGTCTCCCATTTGATTATTGACTTAATCAGTGTAATGATGCCCCTTCCCCTACTCTGTGTCTGTCTTGTCTATTTAGATTGTAAGTTCTCTGGGGCAGGGCCACCTACTGCTATGTGTTTGTACAGTGCCTAGCACAATAGGGCCCATTCTTGGTAGGCCTGAAGGCACTACCCTAATAAACATGGTTAATAATAATAAATTTGGGAGATCTAATGGGATCCTGACACAAGACTGTCTGGCTACAAATCTGGCTGTGCTGGACTGTTTTTCAGTTTAAACAAACCTATTTGGGAAGTCCTGTTTGAGGACAAGAGGTGTGAACTTCAGTTGTTTGCAAAGGAAAATCTCCTTCCGGAAGGAAGGGCTGGAGCACCAAGAAATTGAAACTAATGCCAAACACTCGCTGAGCTATTGTATCTATTAAAAAGCAGCAACTAATCATCATAATGCCAGGTGTGACGTTGTGCAGTCTATATGGTTTTATAAAAACATGATAAGAAGTGAATATAATGTAACTGGGATAGTTTTATAAAGATTTGATAATAAGTGAATATAATGCAACTGGGATATGCTTCGTGCAAAAGGTCTCTTGTAAGGTATCATTACAAAGCTCATAATCTACTGAGTGTGATCATCCTATTTGTAGAAATGTACCACTCTTGTATCTAAAACTAGAAATATAAAACATAACTCTGAGGGCCTATTGTAATTATGTAAAGTGTGGGCCATTAATGATGGTTTGGAATCTTGATGACTCCCATTAACCAGGACCATTGTCTGCAGATGGCTGTGTTTACCTGTTAGTCTTCCTGTATATGTGTGTGCTGGCAAGTGGGCAATGAAGTCTTGCAGTGACATGTGATCATGTCACCTGAACTGGAATCCATCTTTAACCTGGTGCTTTTCCAGGGGGGGTGGAAACCCAGAGGGACAAAGGGTTCCTGCCTTATGCAAAAGATATATAAAGGGGTGGAAGAGAACAAAGGGAGAGAGGAGTCATCATGAAGAATCCCCTAGCTATCACCTGAGCTGGAACAAGAGCTGTACCAGGGGAAAGAATTGTGCCCAGGCCTGGAAGGTGTCCAGTCTGAGAAAAACTTACTGAAGCATCTCTGAGGGTGAGATTATCTGTATTTAGCTTGATTAGACATAGATTTGCACATTTTATTTTATTTTGCTTGGTGACTTACTTTGTTCTGTCTGTTACTACTTGGAACCACTTAAATCCTATTTTCTGTATTTAATAAAATCACTTTTTATTTAGTAATTTACTCAGAGTATGTATTAATACCTGGGGGAGCAAACAACTGTGCATATCTCTCTATTAGTGTTATAGAGGGCGAACAATTGATGAGTTTGCCCTGCATAAGCTTTATGCAGGGTAAAATGGATTTATTTGGGTTTAGACCCCATTGGGAGTTGGGCATCTGAGTGCTAATGACAAGCACACTTCTGTGAGCTGTTTTCAGGTAAACTTGCAGCTTTGGGGCAAGTGATTCAGACCCTGGTCTGTGTTGGAGCAGACGGGAGTGTCTGGCTCAGCAAGACAGGGTGCTGGAGTCCTGAGCTGGCAGGGAAAACAGAAGCAGGGGTAGTCTTTGCACATCGGGTGGCAGCTCCCAAGGGGGTTTTTGTGATCCAACCTGTCACACCGGGAACATTGTAACATTTCAAGCTGGCACACCCATAAACTTAAAGTCCTTGAAGATTTGCTAAGAGAGTGGACTAATATTGGTGAAGTCAGTATTTCTTATCATATGTTGCTGCTATCAAATCTAAGGGCCCCACTTTCTTGCATAGCTGCATTCTTATGCCATTCTTAGTGATTTGCTGCAATTTATTGCTGTTGTGTTTTCACTTAGGGGTCTGGTTCACTCATGGGTCTCTAGAATTGGCATATACTGGTGTAAGACCTACAACATGTTTGTGTTGTCACATTTATAATTGCATCTTTTTCACTATGCTACAGCACAAAGCATCACAATGACTTTACAGATCCTTCCCATTATTCTGTATTTTATTTTAAAATAGGTCAATAATTATTACACATAAAAGTGAGAGACAGAACAAAAATGTGTTTTAAAACACTTGTTTAAAATCCAGAACATGGATTTTAAAAACAATATTAACAAACCAGTATGTTTCATATTTTGTTTTTAAATGAATGGTTTCATCTCTGACATCTATTGGTGCACAATTAAGTTTCTAGGTGAATGTTAGCAAAAAATTTACCTTCCACTCCCACCCATACATGCAGCCAAATTCTATCCTTGGATATGTTTAAAAAAAAAAAAACTTTTAAAATAGAAAACATCAGGAGTTGTTATCAGCTCATTACCATTGAAATCAATTAGGTGCAGATTTTCAGCTGGTGTTAATTGTCAGCTTCCACAATTTATGCCAGCTGCGGATCTGCCTCTTGGAGATGAACAGCTGTCTCAAATGGCAAAATTTGGCACATATTTAAATAATTTGGAAATATTTCAGATGAGGGGGAAAAGGTATTTTAATAATATGAAGAAAATAACCATCATGTAAATAATCCAAAATGAAATACTGTTAGCACATATTAAATATTTTCAATTTTTAAAGCTATGTACCATAAATATAAAACTTTTTGTAAATAGGATACATATCTGTGTACTTTAATAAAAAACAGTGATCTTAGAATGTCTACATGCCTTAAACATCCTTCAACTTTGCAGAGTTCCAGAGACATATATAATTTTTTTAACTGTCCAGTTATTATATTTAGCACAAAGGTACATTTTGAAGTTTCTTCTGCTTTATGGCTGAAAGGCATGTGCTGTAAAAATACTAGTTTTTGCCTTCCTTAAAAAACTAGGACTCTTTCCAGAGACTGTCTCCTTCTGTGCTGAAACTTAATGCACAATCCATGCAGGATATCTAGTTCTGAAGCTAAGAATGTAAGAGTGAATTATAGACACCCAGGTGTGAGCTGAACTGGAGAAACCTGGCCATGCCTTTCTCATTACATTGGTTTTGTCTTAATGGATTCCAAAGAGAAAACAACATTAAAAGAGCAAAATATTTTCTGTTCTGAACTAAGATAACATTCTTTAATTTGTGGATGTACATCAAATATTAACACCATGTCATTTTTATTTTGTATCCAAACATACACAGTGGGAGAAGAATGCAGTGTGTATTCCCGCCCGTAACAGCCAAACCATGGAATGCCACAGATAGACTCTTCAGCACATCCTGACATACAGGCTTAGACAAGTGTATGGCACAGACTGTGCTGTAGTTCCTTAGAGATGCCTCAATAGGTCTTCATAGATTTAAGTAATTCTTCTGCTTTGCATTTCACTAGCATGTCCAGTCAGCCTCCTGCTGCTTCTGCAAAGGTTACACCTCCAGATTTAACTGGTTATTATCTTTTCTATTTTTGTAGCTGCTAAAACTTTGCAAGCAGCTGCTGGAGAGTGAATTTAAAAGGTAGGTGGACACTGTTTTTTATGTGTGAGAAAATAAATGGAGAAAAAGGCCACCTATCTGAATCACTGTAGTATTCTCTAAAAGCCTGAGATTTGAAGTATTTAGGTAGAGGTGCTTCTCATGGTCAGATACAGAATTTCCTTATGGAAGTTAGCTTGTGCATTCACAAGGTGGAACAAATTCAAAAAGCTGCTGTCTTCTTCATCATGATCTCCTAAGCACCAGAAGGGAAACATTAAAAATAGCTAATGAAAATAAAGGGCTCATTTGTAGGGAGACGATCTCAGAAACTACTTAGTATCTTAGCAGAGGCCAAGTATGACCCAGGTACCTCTTGACGCCAACTGGCAGAGGGCAGGGGATAGAGTTTAACAGGGATCCCCTATGTCAGATGCACACAATAATTCACCAAAGCACAGCATGCAAGGTCACTACCAAAAGCTACCCTGTTTCCCCGAAAATAAGACATCCCCCGAAAATAAGACCTACTTCCAGTTTTGCCTCTCGCTGTAATATAAGGCATCCCCCGAAAATAAGACCTCCCCTATAATAAGGCCACCCCGGAATATAAGGCCCCGAAGCTCCAGGAAAAATAAGACCTCCCCTGAAAATAAGACCTAGCGCATCTTTGGGAGCAAAAATTAATATAAGACACTGTCTTATTTTCGGGGAAACAGGGTAGTAGTGCTCTAAACGCCTATTGACTTCAGAGAAGCAGAGTTAGACCAGCACTGACTGCTTTCAAACAAATAAACAAA